GGCAAAGAAACTTCAAGTCTCCAGAGAGGCTATCTCTAATGGACAAGGAAGATCACCTTCCAGGTCTCAGGACTCAGAATCGAAACCACTGCAACCTATTTACTCCGAAATAAATTTACAAGTCAAAACAAATATTTTGAGATAAGTAGAATTCAAGAAGAACAGCTGGGCTACTGATAAACTATACTGGGATTAGGAATTAAAAAAACTGGAATAAGAACAGCCCAAGTCCCTAACCTGAGACAGTTTCCATCTACAAAGTAGGATAAACAAGCCTTGACTACTTATCAGGGTAGTTTAAGACTCAAAGAAGAAAGAATAAAATAAGTTCAGAGAAACCATAAAGTTCTATATAAACTCACAGTACTATTTTATAATCTGAAATATAGGAGTCTGGATGATCTTTATGACCCCTTGGAGTTTTAAAGTTGTAAGATTCTGTATGAACTGAGTGTTATACTAAGTCAAAGCAATTTTCAGAAGGGCTCTGTAGTCATTACTCTAGATCTTGACAGCGGCCAGCAGAGGCCTGTGAGAAGGGCACAGCTCCTGATTGAGGTGTTTTTCTCCCCTCTGAAAGTAAAAAAGGGTCAGTGGAGTTGAAGAGGAAATACAATTTAATGTCAGCCTAAAGAACATGAAGAATAGCTTGGCTTTCTTTTCTGGTATGTAATTAATCAGACAAAGTATAAAAGACTTTTTATATTTAACCAAGCAATTACATATTCAACTGGAAAACATAACAAAACATAACAATCACACAAACTTAAATTCTGGTTATGGAGACAAAAACAAAAGTGAAACAGATGTAATACAAAAAAATGTAAAATGTAAAATAATCAGTACTCCATTCCGCTGCTTGGTAGAAGTGTCAGAATCTGTTGTAAACAAGTTTGAGCAAGTAGTCTATGAAAATCACTTTGTTTTTCCAAATTCTTGTGATGAAATTGTAATGATACCCAGCTAAATGAGGTGTTACTATCTGACTGTCTACATAGCCAAGAACGAAGGAGTATGTAAAAATAAGGCTTATAAGCAATCCAAATAGCTATCACTAAAGCTAAAGTACTAAAGAAGAATATTTCAATCTAAACTCTATAAGGTCCCCTGGTTTCCTGACCCCAGAGCAGACTGGATGCAGGAAACTGGAAGATTACCAAAAGATAAGAACAATGACCACTTCTTACCTACAGTAAGGGACAGAAAGAGAAGGTTTAACAAACAGTACCACAGAGCTCAACATTTTGGAAGTCATTATTTAATGGTACAAGAACTGCCATTCATAAACATGACTAAATCAATAAGAAAAACAACTACATATAATAATATCTATCCAAAAAAACTGTTAAAATGTAGTGGGCTTTACACCTGAACTTTTAATAGTTTAGTTTCAGTATTGGGGTAATTCATCTGTGTGGAACATCTTGTTCCAGAGGTACTATGTGCACGAAAACTTTATTAAGTCAATATATACAGAGGAAAATACTAGCTTAGTAATGAAGATCTTTTTTGGAAGCACATACTAATTATGTATTATCATTTGTATGGTAAAGCAGTAACAAAATACTCTTGGCAATCTAGGCCAACTTCCTAGAAAAGTTGTTACTAAACGAATTTGTAAGTAAAAGTTATCTTTTTCAAAATGTTCTAATAAAAATATTGGAGCCAGCACGAAACAACAGAGTGAAAATTAGGAGTGTAACTAGATCAAAGCAGGAGAACCCAAAAGATCAGATGAGACAGAAGAAAAAGAGAAGCAGCAGCTTCAGAAAGAAATAGAAAAAAATGGAATGGGGGAAAAGTAGGAAGAGACGAGAGTCTTTGGAGCAGCAAGTGTGGGTATAAATGAAACCAGGAAGGCTGACTAAAGTCTTGGGGAAGAAAAAACGTATGACAAGTGAACTACAGACTACAGGGCTGGCCACAGGCTTTTGTTTCTCAAAAATGCTGAAAACAAGACTATACATGAAGCTTTAAAAAAATAATAATTCTCATTTAGGCAGAGGTTATTAGAACAAAATTCAGCAGTAACCTCATTATGTCTAATGTAGTTACACTCAATTTTAAACAACAAAAAAGAGTTTTCTTGGTATCCAATGTCATTTTTACAGGTAAAAAGTGAAAATCTAGGCTTTCTTCTTATCTAGCTGCAGCTATTTCTCTATAATCCACCATGTTTCTTAAAAGGACTCTGAAGTACTTAAGACTCCATTTCTCCTAACAAATGGTTTTTTTTTTTTTTTTTTTTTAGCCATTAAAAACAATTCCATCTCCTGAGTGAGCCGCTGCTAGCTCTCTTCCTCCTAACCTTGTTATTTTGCTTTCCTGCCATTCCTGTTTGCACCCTGGTGGGGCTTCTCCGATCAAATGCCTTCAGGGACAGGAAGTTACAGCACCAAAATGCCACAGCACATTTTGGCCTACCACTGATGTGTGCTTTCCAATTTCCCAGGCTTGGACAAAATAAACCTTATAGAAAGACTCTTAGTTTATATTTTTGCATGTGCCCCAAATTATCACTGAGAATAATGCATTCACCAAAAAAAATTTATAAGTATATTCGCTTTCACTAAACTTAGGATGTTTCCCCCCCTCTGAATATACTATAATGAAACATCTACTATTCCCTCCCTAATACTTAATGTCCAATGCACTCACTTTTTCTGGATAGGAAACTTTTATAACTTTTAGCTAGATATCTTCTTGCTCTAAACTCAGTGCATGTCTCTCCTTATAACAAACCACTCATTATCCTTCTCAGGTGTTCTTGACCAGTTTTCTGTCCTAGCAAATCTGCGGGGACCAACATACTTTCCCTACCTGTATTCATTGTTCACTAATGACAATGAACAATAAAAGAGATGGTAGGGGAGAAGGGTTGGGAGGTGTATTTGAAAACATTACAGAGTAGTGTCTGGTACAATTCTCCATCTGACTGAGAACTGCTTTAACAACCAAATTTCTAAAAGGCTAGTTTGTAAGTTATTAAGGATATAAAAGCCATAACAGAAATGAGAAGACATAGCAAATTACCTCAGTACATAATTTTTACCTACAAAGAGGTAAGAATATCATTATGAGAGAGAAAACTATGCAAATGCCTCATCTCAAACTTTATATTCTAAGCATCTCTCAGAAATTCCCTACCTAGTCCAAAATACCTCTACAGTAGCCATAAATCTGAGTTCCCAGTAATACCACTGAGCTCTCTGGTGGTTGGCAGAATTTTAAAAAATATATATTTTCTTAATCTTTTTGGACAATTTGCTTAATTGTCCAAAGTAATAAAATATTCACCCGAAGTCTGCAGTGCTCAGAGGTTAGTGGTCTGGGCCAAAGACTGATGAGGCAGATTGAAGAACAGGTGCTTTTCTAAATGGCCATGGTATCGTGGCTACTATTCCCAGTGGGTTTGGGGAAAAGGAGACTGGAGTAGAGCTGCAAGAAACTTGTGGGCCTGGGGGACTGGGACCAGAAGGGAGAAGCAGGAGCTAAGAACTTTGTAGAGGGAAAGTTACTCAAAGTCTCATTACCCACTGGGCAGAGTGCAACTTGCCTGTCAGCTTTTTCTCCAGTAAGTGCATAAGCAGTTGGGTAGCATTCTAAGGTAAGGACTTTTAGACATGGCTAAGTAGCTGCAAGAAACCCTAAGCTGTAAGGGTTTTTATAGACTCTGGGTGTACTCTAGCACAAGTTTTGGGTTCCTCTAATGCTATAGAGGAGATACATACTCTGCCTTCCTGATAAAAGCAGCTAGAAAGGATAAAGGGAATCCCTATAGTCACTGCATACTTAGGACTCTGATTTAATGATAGAAATATAAAGAATGAAATACTTTACAGAGTAGTTATTGCTTGTATCTTAAGGAATTGTAAAGACCATAAACACATTACAGGGTATTCCAGACATACCATAGATTCACATTTAATACAATATTGGTAGGCAGTGGAAAGAAACCCACAACATCTGACTTCCGAAAATATGAAAAATAAAAATAGTTGATGTAGGAATAGTGGAAAAAGGAAATTATCCAAGATTTTCCTGTATTGTCTATGCTTTAAAAAAAGAAAATGGGAAAACAAAACAAGCAAGTTACTTCACAGAGTCCACTGCTTTTTAACATATTGAATTATTATCAACTTGAGAGGAATTAAAAATAAAGAGAACAAAAAAAAAATTTAAACTCACATATTCACTACCTCTTGCTGTGAAAAGCAATTCTAGGTGTATTAAATTATTTAAAATTAAGAGAACATTGCTACTGAGTCAATTATAATGCCATCATCCCTAATGTGCAAATGCAGGCACTAGTAAATACAGTTCTGGCTGTGAATTAAATTTCATTATAATAAAAAAACACCTTTTACTTTAGTGAAACTGTGAAACCATATAAGTACATTGTTAAAGATATCCTCCCAGACTACAGGGTAAAAGATGAAACAGAAAGGTGGTATCTGTCCTCTCTCCAAGAAATTAGTCTTCAAGAAATTACAGTCATGTAACAATGGGCTTATGTTCTGAAAAATGTGACTTTAGGTGATTGTGCCATTGTGCGAACATCACAGAATATTCTTACACAAACCTATGTGGTATAGCTTACTACATACCTAGGTTACATGGTCTAGCCTATTGCTCCTAGGCTACAAACCTGTGCAGCATGTTACTGTATTGACTACTATAAGCAACTGTAATACATTGGTTAGTATTTGTATATCTAAGCATATCTCTTTTTTAACTTAAAAAAAAAAGCTTTTATTTATTTATTTTTAGAGACAGGGGAAGGGAGGGAGGAGACAAACATCAATGTGTGGTTGCTTCTCATGTGCCCCCTACTGGGAACCTGGTTGCAAGCCAGGCATGTGCCCTGGCTGGAATCGAACAAGCGACCTTGTGGTTTGCAGGCTGGCACTCGATCCACTTAGCCACACCAGACAGGGCTCTAAGCATATCTAAATATAAAAAAGGTACGGTAAAGATATGGCATAAAAGATTAAAAAGTGGAGCTCTCTTTGGCAGCACATACACTAAAACTGGAATGCTACAGAGAAGATTAGCATGGCCCGTGTGCAAGGATGACATGCAAATTCATGAAGCATTCCCTATTTTTAGAGTAATGCGGGGGGGGGGGGGAATGAGGACAACTGTAATTGAAAAACAATAAAAAAATTTTTTTAAAAAAAGGATTAAAAAATGGTACATCTATATAGGGCACTTACCATGAATGGAGCTTGTGGGATTCAAAGTTGCTCTGGGTGAGTGAGTGAATGGTGAGTGAATATGAAGACCTAAGACATTACTGCACACTACTGTAGGCTTTATAAACACTGCCCCAGAAGCCTCCCCCTGGTTCCTTCTGTCAAGGTCAGAAAGAGAACATCAAAGCTGTCAATGCTGCTCCATGAACAGGGAAGTGCACTGGATTGACTGGAAATATCAAGGAGATACTGGCTGTGTAAGGCATCGATCACCATAGTAGTGACTGTCAAGAAGGAATAAAAGGAAGCCTGAGGACTGGTAGGAATAGGAATCAAGATGGAGACATAAAAGAATATAGGAAATTGTCATGGCAGTGTGGTTTTGGCTATTGCATATTGGAGCAGTGGTCAGATGAAGGAACTTGGCGACATTCATTTAAAAAAGAGGGTATTTGCCCTGGTTGGTGTGGCTCAGTGGATTGAGAGCCGGCCTGCTAACCAAAGGGCTGCTGGTTTGATTCCCAGTCAGGGCACATGCCTGCGTTGCAAGCCATGTCCCCAGTAGGGGGTGCGGGTGAGGCAACCACACACTAATGTTTCTTTTCCTCTGGTTCTCCCTCCCTTCCCCTCTCTCTGAAGATAAATAAAATCTTTTTTTTCTTTTTTTTTTTTAAGATTTTACAGCAATGCACTCTGAAAACTATTAAGCTAGAATTAGGAGAACTATAGTACCCTCGAAATATGTAGTGCTGGGGGACAGGCTCATCTGTGCTGAAACAGGTTGGCAGCTGACTGACTGGAGATCTCTGCACTCGAAATTCAGGTGCTGAGTGCAAGGGAGTTATTGCCAAGCCCCACAGATATTCCTCCCATCAGAGAAAAAAAAAGTTCCTCCTGAACCACATAGCCTTCCATTTCTTTTAAGAAAGCTTCTTGTTTTGCTAAAGTATTTCCCACTAAAACATGTCATTCTTGATAGAATTTCTTTTCTAACATGGAAATGGGATTAAAACGATGGCAGCGGGGGGGGGGGGCGCGGAAGGGAGATGATGACTAACAAGTTGTGCCCCTTCTTCTGCAGTAAGACTGAAAACAAGACTAAAAAATGTCCACATATGCCCTGCAGAGAGCAGTATAGGGAACATGAAAATTCAAGAATTTCCCTTTCAGTTTTCTTTCCCTAAGTTGTTCTTGTATATCTTAGGTTGTAGGTATATCTTAGGTTGTAGGTCTCAGTTTAAGAAAGAGAGGACATCAGGAGTCACCAACACAGGGACCCTCAAATACCTGTCAGCCCCAGTGACCTAGCTCCTCCACACCCACCTCATCATCACTGTCGGACGTCTCGGAGTCGGAGGAGGCTGCAGGCTGACTCACAGGTGGCTCCTTCTCTTCAGAGTCACTGCGTTTCCGCTTTGCCAGGGACAAGAGCTCCTAGTAGGACAAGTAATCACATGAGTTTTGTTCAACAGAAAAGAAATATCCAGGAATAATAAAATGCCCATCCTCCCCACATCTGTTCTACCTCTTTGTGCTTTCAATTGAAGGGGGCTTTTATCATGTGAACAGACCAATTACCAGTATTCCTAAGTGCTAAAAGGAACATTTTCAAAAATTTCCCCTCCCTTTTAATCGCAAATATATGCCTGAAATGGAAAAGTGAATATAAAACTGACCTGGAAGCTACTTTCAAATTGTCACCATTTTCTCTATAATCTACAGAAGTACTGATTCTCCAGAATCAAAATATATATAAAAACCATGTTTATAAAGGTAATTTGCTTACTGTTCCGACTGGTATAGCTAATCAATACTCTGACCACCCTCTTACTGTAATTCATAGTAAAGCTGGCATTTGTGGGGCTAATTTCAATAAGCTGACAAATGACAAGTTTTATTTCAAATGCTTAAGCCAGGAAAAAAAAAAAGTCTATTTCCAGTGGTTAATCCAAGGTCTGAAAACAAGCAGCAAATGTGCTGACCACTACATCAGAATCCTAGGTAACCCTGACCAAGTAGCTCAGTTGGTTAGTGTCGTCTGACATGCCAAGGTGGTGGGTTTGAGCCCCGGTCAGGGCACTTACAAGAGTCAACCCACGGATGCATAAATAAGTGAAACAATAAATCAATGTTTCTGTCTATCTTTCTGTCTTTCCACCTCCCTCTCTCTAAAATCATAAATAATTTAAAAAAAGAATCCTAATTTGACAACCCTAATATCCCCCATTTAGCACCTCTGTTTTGTCCAGTTGATTTAATAATCCACCAGGACAATTAATGCCATTAAGTCCTGGCTATTACCAGGATTTGCTCTCTCACAGGGCTCCCCTGTCCTGCTACTCCACTCCAACTCAGCCCAGTCACTTAAAAATGCAACAAAAGAAAAATAAAAATAAAGAACAAAAATGTAACAAAAGGATACCTGTGCTAGTTCCTGCTCTCTGCTAATGTTAATACCAGTCCACAATTATACTGTACTTACTAGATGCCAGGTACTTTTCTAAGCACCTAACATTTAATCTTCACAACAACTTTAAGGTAACTATCACTATAATCCTCATTTTTTTTCTTTCTTTTTTTTTAGGATTGAGGGTGGGCTCTGTCACTTTGAAACTAGATAAAATGGACCCCTTTATGTTTCCTCAATGTCTCAATTGTGTTGTCTTCCCCACATTACCAGATGAGGACTGAATTAACATACTAATCGTGTATGTTTTACACTCATAAATGTAGAGGACTAAGGAATATGACTGCTGACAAGTGGCTTGATGAAGACCTCAGCCCTGGTTGGCGTGGCTCAGTGGACTGAGCTCCGGCCTGCAAACCAAAGGGTGGCTGGTCCAATTCCCAATGGAAGGCACATGCCTGGGTTGTGGGCCTGGTCCCCAGTAGGGGGCACAAGAGATGCAACCACACATTGGTATTTCTTTCTCCCTTCCTTCCCCTCTCTAAAAATAAATAAATAAAATCTTAAAAAAAAAAAAAAACCCAAAAGACCCCAGATGTTACTTCCCAGAGCAAAGCAAGGATATGCAGCCAGTTACCTGAGTGCTCCATTTTTTTCCTTGCCAACTACTTATTTATTGTTTATTTAAATGTTACCATTCCCACTTAAAGAAAAAGAAACTAAAGAGAAGGAAATGTTAAATAACTTATCCAAGGTAACACAGCTGGTACATAATAGAGTTGGGATTCAACCCAGATAGAATCCTAGCTCCTAATTCAGGCACCTTTACTAGTCTAAAACATTTTTCCCTTCTGCCAAAAAGAGAAAAAAACCACTGATAAATACGAGTAGTATCATTCCTTGATGATGATGGTGCTACACAACTATAGGTCAAGTGGCAAGATATATTTTAAAATAATAGACTGTTAAAAAGTATCTGTTTTCTTCTTCCAGTTTCTTTCTATTTTAGGAATATACCCTCCTTGGCCAGAATGAGAAAATGACCTTCTCAGATTAACAGCTGGCATGCTCTCTTTCATAAGCAGTCATGAAATGTTACTCTTCTCATTTCATTAGAGGGAGCTAGCACACCAACCTCCTGAAAAGGCTGAAGACAACACTCTACTTTTTCATACCAAAACAGTTAATTCCTATTAATCATATGTAAGTTACAGCAATATTTGTGTTTATGGTATCTTAAAAACTTGAGGTATAATTGACATACAGTACATTTTATCCTTTCTTATGTACAGTTCTATGGGTTTGACAAATAGTTAAACCACTCCCACAATTAAGATATATGACAATATCATCATTGCTCCCAAATATTGCTGTAATTTGCATTTGGTCAATAGGAGTAACTGTTTTGGTATGAAAAAGTGAATATTATTATTTTCAGCCTTTCCAAAAGTTGGTGCTCTTCATATCTTTCCCCCCGTCCCGTGGCAACCACAGACCTATTTGTCCCTATAGGTCTGCCTATCATAGAATATCATGTAAATGAAATAATACAATATAGTAGCCTTTTGAATCTGGCTTCTTAGTATAATATATTTGAATTCATTCATCTTGCAGCATGTATCAGTAGTTTACTCCTTTTTATTTTTAAGTAGTGTTCTATTAAATGGATACTTTGTTTATCCACTTACCAGCAGAAAAACATTCAGGTTGTTTCCATTTTAGGGCAATTATATGTTCATATACAGGTTTTTGCATAAATATTAAGTTTTCATTTCACTTTGGTAAATACCTACGAGTGGGATTGTTGGGTTCTACAGTAATTTGTGTCCAGTCCTAACTATTATCTTTTTTCCCCATATTACCTTAATGGAAATTTATAAGCTTTACAAAGACTTCTGGCAAGTAATCTCTTTCCTGACCTTTGAGGTTCATGAATACATCCGAATTCTGTATAATGAGTTGATACCAACTCACTACAACAGGGATTTGGATACGGTATCAAATTCTTCTCTGAAACATTAACTGTTATATGCAGTAGACATCCATTAAAAGTTATTGTCTCAAAGCGTTATTAGTACTGCCTTTCTCTTAAAGAGGTCCACTCCATACTAAAACCCTAACAAATGGTTCTTCTTCATCAGCAAATAAATGTATCTGATAGGTACAGTTCCTCCTCTTACACAAAATTAAATACAATATTAACACTAATATGGAGATCTCAAAGATCTTCTTAACATTGTGAAAGACACCCTTAAGTTGAGAATTACATAGGAAGTTACTGGGGGAACTCAGGGCAAAGCTACTCTTTACAGTTGAGTCTTTTATATTCTATTAAGGGCTCATTAGTAAGCTGAACAAATCAGTGTGCAACGGAAACTTCTTTCCAACAATGCAAACATGAGCAGACCATCAGATTTTCTACCTGCAGAGGCTGATTTATCAAATACCTGTGCTCAATAAAGCCAACCTAAAACTGATTCACACACAGGGGCTGGGTTCACTGCA